AGAAGCATGTTAAAGGAGAACTATGGGGTCAGTGCTTTTCCCCATAGTTCTCCTAAGGGTCACGGGAGAGCACAAACTAGCGTTCTCCCGTGACCCAAAGCTCAGTATACTGCGAGCTACGGATCCACCCAGCTGCGGGATTGACAGCTGGCTCTGCCTATCCAGAGGCAGAGCCAGCTGTGCCCGCCCCCTCCCCATCCGTTCAGCCAATCAGCGCTAGAGGATCGGACAGGGGAGGGGGGGATCCCTGCAGGGAGCCATGAGTGACAGTCACGGCTCTGTGCACGGATAGATCGAGAAGTGAGCAAGCTACGCTATGTGTTCGCCCACTTCCCGATCTACTGAGCCGACCTGTGACAGTCTCATTGTCACAGGTCGGCTCAGATTATGAGGTTGAGTGAAAATCACTCGCCTCATAATTCTCCCTTAAATCTGTCAAAAATGTAAGCAGAAATTTTGGAGTCAGGTTTTACAAATACAAACAAAACTATTGCAATTTTTTCACTAAATAGAGAGAAGCTAAAAATGCATTAGACAGGTGTCTGATTTTGTTGGTATTTACTTGTTAAATGCTTCCCATGAATACTTGCAAATCTCGTGTAAACATTAACAGAAATGAAAGATAACACTTTTACATACAGGATTTTCATAAAATCTTAGGTTTGAGATGAAGTATATCTAAAGTCAAAATGTTTTCTTAGCTTTGGATAGAGTGGGATATGATCAGAACCCCTGCCACATGTTTATTGTTGTCTGTGTTCCCACTAGTGCCCTTTTTGATTTGGGGACCATTGTCCTTGGGACAGAACATCAGTGGAAATCCATCATGTTATAGTTATCACCAGAACAAGAACAGAGGGGAGAGCAGTTGTGGCATTGTGTCTCTCATGCAAGAAGTTAAATCTTACAAGGGAACAGACATAGCAGAACCATCTTGACAAGTGTTTTACCTTTGTTATCCTATCTTTAACCACTTGAGTACTATCCTGTATATACGTCTTCATTGCCAGATCATTTTTCACTTTTCAGCACTGTGATACTCTACCTGACAACTACTCGATCAGGATGTCACTTTCAGATGAACGTACCCTGTTGAACAGAACTTTGCTTTGTGGCAATATATATATATATATATATA